TATTTTTTAGATCTATGTGCAGATTAATTTTGTTATGTGCACCAATATGGAGGTGATGTGTGACACATCACCTTCATATTGGTGCACATAACAAAATTATTCTGCACATAGATCTAAAAAATAGAGAGATCATTGGTTCAAACTAATGTAACCATCCATTAACTCTAAATGGAAATACCTAGATCATCTAAACAATATTGCAAGCACTAAATCTTAAACATGTATTAAGTGAATTTAAACAACTGGTCTTGTGCTCCAGAATTTAAGCATTTTTAACATTATAAAATATGAATTCTGCTTGACCCTATTGCTGACAGTTGAACTGCATTTTAGCTCCTCTTTCCACACTACTCATCAGCATTATCAAAAAGCAGTTCTGTTAAAGCTTCTAGAGTTTTGGGATCTTTGCTAGAAATGTAGTGTAAATATCTCGGATTAAATGGTCACCTTTTATACCCCAATTTGATTAAATTTCTCTCTAATAGATTATGCCCTCCTGATGGTTTGCATTGCATTCTTTCTAATGTGCCTCTTGAAGTAGTACTTGGTCATTTTATATGGATTAAATAAAATGACATGAGTTGGTGCAGATAGTTTGTCATATTGACTCTGATGTCATCTGGTTTGTTTCCTTTATTACTAAATCTCCCACTTCTTCCTTTCTGATCCACAGCCTCTTAGTTTTCCTGTATCTTGTTGCAAATTAAGCATGAATGCATGGTTCTTAGCCTTCTCCTCCTTGTGGGAGGTCACGGTTTAAAAACAAAATGCTGAAATAAGTAAACCTGTGATCCAAAATTTACTTTTCCATATAGTACAGGTGATGGTTCAGAGCCTTGCTAGCTTTTTCTGGCATTGTGGGGCAATCTTCAAATACGTTAGTCTTGCTTTGGTTTAAAGTAAATAATCACTGGTTAACTAGGGTTTTGCTTGTTAATCAAGGCTAAGTTTCAAAGTAACTTTGAAACTTTTTGATGATTGAAGTGAAAAGCAGTAGTGTTAATGTTCTGCTTTGAGTACACAGACTCCATTACTTCAGCACACCCACCTGGAATTGGAAAATGGATAGTACAGGAGTAACTGCTGTGGTAGGTGTTTTTTTTTTTTTAAGTAAGAATCTCAAATGTATGGAGAGACTGAGGAAGTCTTTGCATGTTGCAAGTTTCAGATCTGGTGAATGGCTGCGGCTATTCTGTAAAAATGTTTGTTGGAGTTCCCATCTGAGTGTCAAAGAACAAACTGAATAACTGCTCTTCAAACATAAAATAACTGCTCCCATTCTTGCTCCTTCTGACTACAATTAATGAAGGTTTAGGGACCTCTGGCTGTACTCTGACCTGGTGTACATTTATTGTTATTTTCTATTTGTTTTTGACTTTTAAAATGGAGCACCACAAAAATGGAAATGAACCAGGCTTCACTGCATGAGAAAGCAATTAAAATTACCCACTAACACCGAAGCAATGCCTGTGCCAGCATGTGTGATTACTTCAAACAGAAATCTAACAGTAAAATTCAGCTTTTAAAAAAAGCATAAAGTGTCATCTGTGGAGCTTTTTCAAATTAGTGTCCATATTGAAATGGACTAAACCAATTAAAGCTATAAGGAGCACTGAGTGATTTTT